GACGGTACACATGGTAAATTAAATACTTTTTCGGAAATGCAAACCTGCTTGTTCGTTTTTTATTTACCTAATATTTAAGTTTATATGTAAAATTGTATTAAAATTTATCTTTCAAATAAAAGTACCATTAGTGACATGTTTTACAATGGTGAAACACCAAACCGTATGTTTTCAATAAAATAATTGCGTCACTTGTCCCATATTTATAAAATTGCATTGGCGATGACAATAATGGGGTACCGCGAATAACGATTCCCTGGAGTGCTCGGAATGGAAATTTTCGAGAACCGGAACGCGAGCATCAGCCCATCCCCAGGAGGTTTAGGAAGGGGGGGGGGGGCATAGTAAACATAATGGTTGCGCTTTGGAGGAAAAATATTCCAAATTTAAAATTTTGGAAGAATAAACATTATTTACTGCCTTTCAAAGGTTAAAGAGAAAGCTCCAAAACATTAAAAAATCAGTTACAGAGTTCCGCTTTGTGGAATCTATTGTTTCCCTTTGTGTAGAGACAAAGCGAATTCTGCTGGGTTCCGTGTGCTGGTACGATCTGGAGAACGTATAATCCTTTCCAGATGTGATATTTACCACACTAAGAAAAAATAAACCAACAATGAGGGTTATTCCCTAACTCTAAAGGAATCGAAATGTAACAAATCGAATCGGAATGTTTAGTAAAATCGGAATTATTAGGCAAACAATTCCGATTTGACTAAACATTCCGATTCGATTTGTTACATTTCGATTCGATTGGAAGTTAGGGAATAATTTCCATTATGTAGGATTATGTGCAATTTTTTTTTCGGGGGGAGGATCTGACCACACGGTCGCTTCATGAACGGGAACGGCGTACAAAATTTTTCCACGACACGAAACTATATGTAATATTTTTTACCAACCGGAACCCGGAATAACATTCGTTCCGGTCCATTCCGCTTCCCCGCAGACATTCAAAGGTTCTGCATAAATGTAGTACAAATAGCCTCGGGTATATACAAGGTAAATTTATTTTGTTAGTGGTTTAAATTATCCACTAATTACACCAAGTCCTCGGGCAATTTATACCTGCCGCGGATCATTAGAAAGAAAAGAGATACCTATATTGTGTTGCAGTGGATTTTCAACCTTATTGACATGAAACATTTCCATCGATTTCTTCCGTTTTTCCCAATATTTTGGCACTAGTTTATAATTCTACAACGTGCGCGGTGGTTTAAACTTTTATACACTGCACGTACTGTGTTATAATAGAAGATTATTTAATAATAATGATATCTGTGATTGATTATATTGAAAATTCGAAATCGCCACACAAAAAATCATATCTATTAACACATGCTTCGTTTTTAAAAAAACGTTCTATTGTAACATTCAGACACATGTATACACCAAAAAGACGTTTTGTCCGTTTCTTCAACATTTCAAATAAATTTTTTTTTTGGGAAATAAGTTAACATTGCTCTTATGGGTGTATGATGTGTTGCCGACTTTCTATTTAGAACCCCCTTAACATGGTATCAGGTTGATAACAGTTTAAGAACTGTAAAAACAGCTCCAGTTTGCCGCGATGTTGTGTTGGTTGCCTATCCCTGGCAACACAGTTCTCAGTTCTGTATAAAAAGCGTTTATTGTAGACTAATCCCTCTATGTATACAGGATGGGCCATTAGTGTGTGGGTGGAAGATTGCGGATTTATTAACGCCCATATTAAAAATTTATTGTCGGGGCATGATTGAAGGAATCTTAAGGATACAACCTAAAAATACTTTCAACGAAATTGCAATTATTATACAGGGTGATTTATATCAAAGTTGAATTTCTTTAATGGAACTCTATTACACATGATATCTAAAATGAGTCGTTTAACCGCAATTCATCGTTTTTTCAAAAAGTAGATGTCCAGTAAAAATTGAATATCGCAGTTATCATTAAACCGAGAAGGCCGTGACTCGGCAGCATTACTAGTCATGAAATGTACTAACATCCGCCAAACGGCTAAAGTTAAATTTCTTTTGTGTTGAAAGAAATCATTCCGTCAATTTTTAAAATTGCAATCAAAGGTAACTTCATTATTTTAAATGGAACTACCAGGTTTTTTTATCGCATCAAATGTAGGATTTTATTACCTTTTTAATGATATGAGCATGTCGATATTTATCTTATACATATTTTTCGTAATTCCACCTTTTTCTAATAATTCACAGTGGTTTTCGATTTTCAAAGCCTCTCAGTGTAATTAGTAGGCCGTTAAAATAAACAATTGAAATAATAAAAAATTTACTTCAAACAAAAATCAAAATAAAAGGTTTAAATAAAAATAAGAAAAAAATTATCAAAGTCCTCGTGTGAGATCGAAGGGACTTCAGCGCATTTTTGTGTGGCAGATCAGGATTCTATTAGCCACTTTTGACTCAACCATCAATAACAGATCTTGTCGAAGGCTACTACATTCACTAACCGTTTCCTACTTTCCGCGTGCGCCCGCAATTCGCTTTTAAAGTTATAATCGTGTCGGGGGCTACCACATTCCTTTTGACGGTAGCCACTTCCGACGTCCCGTTCACCCGCAATTCGCTTCTATTGGCGACACGAGAAAGAGAGACAGCGATTCGAGATTTACGAAACGTTAAACCGCGTGAGTTCGCAACGGAAGGTAAAAGGCGCCCGAAGTTGACTACTTTTCGAAGACGCGCGCGCGCGCGCCTCGCAAAAGGTCGTTAATTTCGCCCCTAGAGGACAAAAAACAAAATTCGCAGGAGTTGTGCGCGTTTACAACATCTTTCCGACGACACCAATTTGAAAAGAATCGGACCAAAACTGTAGTAGAAGATAGGAAAAAACTGAAAAATCTTCACGTTAGTATACTACGCTCGAGGATGACGCCCAGATGTCGCCAACCCCACATCATGTAGCCGTGTCCCTAAGGTTGACAAATTTCACGGCCTTGTAGATACACGTACACCCGTTGCCTTTCTACAAGAGTTCTTCTACGCGCCCACATTTGCAGCCAGCCAGCCAGCCAAAGTGAGATTAAAAGCTACTTTTTACAAATAAATTTGCAAAAATGCGCTAAAAATAACAATTGTTTCTATAACTCTTCAAGACCAAACATTTGCCGATGGGTTTAGAAAATCATTCTTTGACACGACGAAGCGCAGCTGGCGTTATGGATGCGAAAGTATTACGAATGCGCATTTTCATATTCTCTTTTGTTATTGGGACTTTTTTACATACAGTTCCGTTCACGTAGCACGCGAAGCGCCGCTAGCATCTGGGGTCAAAACACTCTCAGCTACGCTCTCCGCTACACTCTAACCTCGCCGCTCCACTATGTCCTTACCCTAACCCTAAAGTGAAACTTATGATTGTGCATTCTAACGACATCTGTCATTTACTTTTCACTCAACGGTCATACTTATTACAAATGCACGATATAAAATGACGTTGAGAACATATGCCAATTCAGTTTCTATGGAAACGATCGCGACGGCCACTGAACTATTATTAAACTGGAACCCGCACTGTCGGTCTCTGCCATAGAAACGTCGAGAGAGATAGTGCAAGGGGGATTTCTGTCACTGTCACTCATTGGGAAACTGATCATTAATATAAATTCAAAACATATCAAATAGGCTGCTCTATGCGTGCGCGAGAGTAGGACAGAGATCCCCTTTGTGGCCCTCTCTCTCGGATCGCGCTGGCCGACGGAGCGCGCGTTCCAGTATTAAAATAATAGTTCAGTGGCGACGGCAGAACCTAAGTTTTCTATTTTTGACGTCTTTAAATTAAATTCAGAATTGTCACTTTACCATGACTTATATGGCTTCTGCTATAAAATAAAGTTTTGTATTATACACGACGATGAAGGGTAACTAACCATCTCGAGAAAGTTAATTCACTCAATGGTTAAAAAATCCCATTATCGTCTTGTATAATATAATAACTATTAATGGGCCTATCTTAATTTGTTCAGATAGAAAACTTTTCCCGATGTCTGGCGTTACACGTGACAGCAGTTTGACGAGCACATTGATTTTGGGTGCCATAAATTAGAATAATTTCCAATCTTTCGTTTAGTGTGTAAACCATTTTGGAAGTAAAATCTAAATCAATAAATTAATTTCCACTATCCCAAAATAGGTGTAAGAAGAGATAAAAGTCGCTAGGAGCTTTGATTATAGGTCTGGGCTGCACGTAGGAACAAACACATGCCAGCCAAATTCCCGTAGGAATTTTTTTGTCACAACGTCGAAACGACTTTCATCTCTTTTTACGTATGAAACCTTTCCTCTTGGTGGTCAACACTTCAACGATGATGACGAGCTGAAAGAACATGATACCACATAGTTGAGAACACGAGCGTCAACCTTCTGTGAAGAAGGCGTACAAAAACGTGTGCCACGCGCTATAACGTATGCCTACGAAATTCCGGAAGTTATGTAGAAAAGTAGTTTAAGGGTTGTACATTTTGGTACAATAAATTTTTCTTGTATCTATACACGTTTTTTTGTATAACCAAATGGAACCTTACGGACATACCTCCTATTGTATCGAAAGGTTCCGTACTGCACTGATAACAGCTCTAACACTCACGTTGACATACATTTTCACTTTTCACATATTGTCAATTGGGTTAGACATTCTTAATTCAAAAATCATAAATAATAATCGCCATTGTTTGGCTTGGGCTTGGGCAATTTCATAATGCTAAAAGTAATAAAACTCCAATGACGCTAAACTCGAACCGGTAATTTGTATGTCGGAAATTCCTATTTTTTTAATAGAAAATTAACGTACATAATATACAGTGAATTTTTTTAAATGCGAACATAGGAGTTTGCAACCAATGTAATTTCTCTATGTTCGATTTAAAACTCACTGTATATGTACGTAACATCGATAGGTACATGAGAAAGTTGCTAAATTATCGTATTCGTATCGAAATGTCTAAACATGGACTGCCTAATAGGTATCTTTAGTTTTTAGCCGCTGCCATACGCAGAAAGAACGACAATGCCAGACGACGATATTAGATCAGCACGCTCTACAATTAATCCCAAACTTGTAAAATCGCGAAAAACGCAATAAAGATTAACTGTATCCCTACTCCTCAGTTTCATACGCGATAACTTTATCTCACATATTTAGGTAATATATTATGTCAATTAATTAGATGGGCATACCTGCCTCAACAGTGATAGAAAGAGGTGGTTGCAGTAAAATAGTGAGAGTGTAATAAATAGGTAGTGAATTCAAAATGAAGGAGGTAAGTACCTACGTACGTTCTGTACATATAAATGGTTGATCCATAGCCTAATTGTTTGCAAGTAGAACGATTTCGAATAAATGCGGAACTTGCAGGTAAAAAAAATGTAGAAACTTCGTCGATATTGTGCTACCTACCAATACCTTTTTAATAACGAATGCGACACTCTTTTGAGATTTAGGTTACTACGTGTGGCACAGTTTCGTCGAACGCAAACCTTTTGCTAATCAATTATTGATAAATAGACATTAGACAATTATCTGCCCTGCCGTGTAGTTAGTTTAAACAGAGCTCAAAAATTTGCGTCTTACTTTAACAGATGCAAGTACCTATCTACTTAAAGTCTTTGATTTTTTCGGTTTTAAATGTATCTATGTATAGTAGATACCTTCATGGCTTCATCCCTTTGTAAATATTCAAATCGGATTTGAATTCTTCTCCGCGAGTTGTTAACCAACCCACCAAAATCGACACAGACAAAAAATGTAGTGCACAAGCCAAATTTTTGTTTTATATTAACATTCGTAATAAAGGTTCATTTAAGAAGAAATTAATTCTTGTAGGTATCTATAGGTAACGTAGTAACTGTTTTTAGTAGTGGTAGCACAGATTTAGAGTGTTTAAATCTGTGGTAGTAGACAGCGATAGGGGAACACTGAAAACCACGTCAACTACTACAAAATGCCAAATAGAATTGCTTGGAAAGGTAATTCTTCCTAAGACATTTGCTTAATCCCGTTCATTCGTCGTTAAACGATTTATCTAGGTCAATGATGTAAACTCTAAAGTATTGGTATTCGTTACCATTGGTTACCATTATCAGTGGATTTCATTAAAAAAATTGATATAAACCCCTTCAGAGCTACTGTCCAAACCATTTTGATAAGTTAAAGACTGCTTTGGCATTATACAATGTATGCACTTGAATAAACATACTTTGCTGATATCCACTTATAATCAATTATTATCTAACATGAATCGTTTGTATATCTGGAGCGAGTCACTCAACACTTGATCTTTCAAAGATGAATTTTTGCAAAAACAATTTCATCGTTAACTCTCCCTAATCTTTGATAACCACCATTACTGATAAGATATAGGCACTATATTGCTGCTAGACACTTACAAATGGTTATTTCCATAGAAATTATTTAATTCATATTATTTCTTGTAACATTTTATAGTGTTGTCCTCCGCTCATATAGCGTTGTCAATTTAACTCCAAGATAAAAACTTAAACTGGTATTTGTTATTCTGATAAAAGACACCGTTCTGCCAAAGTATTATTCACCTCTACGCAATCACTACCTATAGCGTAGCGTAGGACAGAATAAAAATTCCTATTCAATATTTACAGATATATATTCGTTTTACTTTCAGAAGGCTATTGAGACGAAAAGCGAGGTTGACGAAGTTGTTCCTGAAAGGTCGAGATGGAGTAGTCCTTTAGAATTCGTTGTTTCCTGCTTAGGTTACGCTGTTGGAATTGGAAACGTGTGGAGATTTCCGTACCTATGCTATAGAAATGGAGGAGGTTCGTGTATATTATTCACTGGCAAATTAGTAGTAGGGTATGCTAAAGGATCGAGATAATCCATGTATTACGATGTTTGTTCACATTTGGAGGAAACTGTTTTGAGTAAAAAATGCAAGTGATACTGACCGCGTTGCATGGATTACCCGCCGACCGTGTCCACATCACCGACAAGTGGACTAAGCCGAACGTGACCATAACATCGACTCACACACTTCTTAATGAAGTTGGGCGGTGTGACACACCAAGCAGGTTTTGACGTTAGGTTATTGTAGGTTTAGAATAGTTTTTTCACTTTTTTCGAACTACAAACCCATACGAAAATTCTTAATGAAACTGGACGGAGTGTGAAACAAAGCAACTTTGGATATTAGGTTATTTGTAGGTTTAGGACATTTATTTAAACTTCTTTAAAATGCAAACTGATATGTATAAAAATTTCATACAGAACCTGGACAGACTATGAGGCAAGGTATGATGAGGGGCCTGGTTTTTCCAATAGCCGGCGTTGTGGCCAAGTTCGGCTTAGTGTCTCTTGCACACGTATCGGCATTGTGGGCATTCGGCGAATTGTCCTAGACCTATCGCGATTGGATTGCATCGCAATATTCTTATAAAAAAGTTATAGAACTTTGAGTGAATCGGGAACAGGAAAAACTGCGCGCTCAATATAATAGAAATCAACATATTTCATTCCCTAGGTCATGTATCGAGTTCGGACTTTCGCTAGGCTATTCTCTATGATTCTTAGACGTGGAACAATTCAATATAACTCAAAATGTGCCCAAAATTATTCTTTACACATGAATTTGAAGTTGTACAAGCTTTCAAACGCATTATCTTGATGCTAAAAGCGTAGTACATCACATTCACATTTGATAACCGCGTATGTGTGATTCAAAAATGTTAAAATTCTTTTTCTGAGGCCATATAGATTTTGATCAAAACATGTCAAAATCGTTGTTCTTGCACCGAGATTGTTAGGAAAAAGACCAAGAGTATTATCTCACAACCCAAGACATAAATTTGATGCATTTTTGACGATCACATGGATTTTGATCAAAACATGTCAAAATCGTTATTTATGCACCAAGATCGTTGGGATAAAGAGCATTATTTCAATGGCCAAAACATGAATTTGATATATTATAATAAAAAAAACTTAAAGGCTGATTAAATTTCTGAAATAAGTATATTAGGTGGTACGTTTAGCTTCACTGTTTCCAGGAATTTATTTCTAAATGCATTCCGAGATGCATCAGTATGATAACTCAACCAGCAATAAAGAGGTCATCTTGATCTGTTGTCATTCAAGATTTCCAAGGATTTAAAATCTGTCCAGTGCAATATGTTGCAACTATAATTACAATTAAAAATCGAGTTTCAAAAAGCACCTCGTAATACACAAGAGTTCCAAGAACTTAAAGTGTGTCCAGTGTGACTATGCAACTAATAAATACAGTTTAAAAAAGCATACCTATGTTAATACACACAAGAGTTACAGGTTTGTACAAAGCGTTTGACCATTTTTTCACAATCTAAATTCTTACTGTACGTCAATTTAATATACCTCTTTAAGCAGTTAAGTAAATCATTACTAGCACAACACTGATACCTACAAAGAATGCTTATGGATGCACAGGATGATCAGGTCTCCCAAGTAATGCATACATTGCACTTATTTTCAACGTCCTTATCTTCAGAACTTTCTCTAAACAAGAAATTGTGATCAAAATTACTATCTAATGGTGTTGAAACACTTTTACAATCAGTCATTTCAAATTTCCTTAAAATATTTTCTAAATAGCCCTTTTGACTTAGGGTCAGGGTATTATTTCCTACATTTTGATTTATTGTAATTCCTAAGTAATAGGTTATTGGCCCCAAAGCTTTCATTTTAAAGTTTTTCATCATGGCCTCTTTAAGAAATTTAATTTTTGTATTGCACGAGCCTGTGATTATTAGATCATCAACATAAATTAGTACATATGTTTTTGAAGACTCTGAAATGTTGAAATATAAACAATAATCATACTTTGATCTTGCATAATTTTTGTGATAACATAAATTTGTGAAATTTTTCATACCAGTACCTCGGTGCACCTTTTAGCCTTCCTATACTGTATTCATTTTAAGAAGGTAGCGGTAGAAAGCATAGGGAAGCTTTGACCTTCACTGTGATTGGATAAAACACGAGTCAGTATTACAATGAAACATAAAACGACTGGTGAATTTTGTAAGGTGGTAGTTTATGTTGTCAACTAAACTGCCGAAGTGTCATTAGTTGTTATTGTCAAAGATTTATTTCTGTTCGCAGTGCTGAATATTTCGACAATAATTTGGTGTCGTTTTATATTTTTCCTGTGTGTGTTTATCTTCAAACACAGGGCCCTCTACTACCTTCTTATAATGAATGCAGTATACGTTTACATACCTTTCCTTTATCAACATTAAAATTAGGAGGTAAACACATTAAAACATTCTCTTTCAGCTCGCCATGCAAAAATGCACTACATGGTACGTGATACGTCTATTTGAAAAACGTTCTAATTTAAATTTACACTTATAGCTAACAGTGTTCGAAAAGTACTTAATTTAGCTGTCGGTGAGTATATTTCTTCACACACCCCACCTTTTTGTTTAAAACCTCGTGTAACTAGCCTAGCTTTATAACACATTATTTTACCTTCACTATCACCATTGAATAATAAATCTGAATATTCAATGCTATCACGTTTGACTTTAAACACTCACTTGCTGTCAATGATATCACAATCTTCTGGTTCGTCAATCACTTCCCAGGTGTCATTTTCTATTGAGGATGTCTTTTCAGTTTCCATCGCCTTTTCCCAGTGCCTTCTTAAATTTGACTGAAGTGCCTCTTCATAGGAATTTGGTTCATCAACGTCTGTTATACTAACAAAGCTTGTTTCGTAATCATACCACGAAAGGAGTTGTAACTGCTCCCTTGAACTAAGGCGCCTTTCCTCTCTGGGTAAAGTATCGCTGCTGTGTGTATCACTCGGCGTATCATAATCTTCGGCTGTGATATCCTCAATTCGATCTATCACTTGCTCATTGTTCATATCGTTTATGCCAAGTTGTAACTCTCCATTTGGGTTTACTTCTTCCACGATATCTTGCGACAGGATTACATCACGTTCTAATGTTACAATGTTTCTGTCTGGGAAATAGACTCGCACTCCTTTCGTTGTTTCTCCATATCCAACAAATATCCCCTTCTTGCTTTTCTAATCTAATTTTTGTCGTTCTTCGGGATATGTGTCCGCACTTTGCTTCCAAAAGGAAACTTAAACATCTTCAAATTAATGTCACCTTTACCTGTGTTCCACAGTTGATACGGGGTTTTCCCATCTACTGAACTAGTTCCCGTTCTGTTAATTATGAACATTGAATTTATAACTATCAAATTCAATGTTATGAAGACGGCCGTGTTCGCCGGAGCCGGACATTAGGGCGCGACCGAAAGGGCGCGACCGTTAGGGCACGAGACATATGGGCGCGTGGACATAAGGGCGCGAGGACATAAGGGCGCGGGACATAAGGGCGCGAGGACATATGGGCGCGGGATACAGGATTCTCTAAAAAAATATATTGTAGTTTGTTTGTGTTGATATATTATATCAACAGTCATTACACAGGGCGTTCAAGATACCAAAAACATATAATGCGTAATGCCAAAAGTTGGGTTATATCTTTTATATCCCTGGGTGCACTATCTTGTTGAAACCAACAGTTTCCAACTTTCGTTTTTTGCCAAAAATAGTCGAAATGAATTCTAATATTGCCAAACTGCGAAATGGATAAATCCGGTTGTATCCCAAATTTATTTTTCATCGCGACCACATTACATTTCCTTGCCCTTACGAAATGGAAAAGTGAAATGTTACATCTTCATTTTCTTTAATTAAAAATTACTAAATTAATTTGCTGACTTTTGTAGCATCGTAGAGAATCACCAAATTCCGACATCCCGTTCACCCGCAAATTGCGTATGAAATTTTGACTCCACCACCGAATAGATAGATTTCAGCTTAATCGATTCAACCGTTCCCTTTTAAATATTTTCAGAAATGACCCAGCAGTCAAAAAGGCATTGTGAATTTTGAATCTATCAAACCCAAATTTTGGCGTCGCCTATTCTATGGTGTCGGCTATGCCTATTTTGAAATTCGTGCAATTCCTATCTATAAATTTGATAAAGAATTCATCTGCACAATTACATCGCAATCGGTGCGGTGGTTCTATTCTGGTTGGACATAAAAATCGAGCGAGCGAGCGATTGGGAGAAAGCATAACATTCCCTTATAAACAACTATGAAGACCCTAAAAACATAGAAATAGAAGTGGAAGTAATATAAAAAGTGTGACCCAACTTTGGACATTGCGTATTATGTTTTTGTTATCTCGAATGCCCCGTATAATGACTGTTGATAGAAAACATTAACGCAAACTAACGACAATATATTTTGTTAGAGAATATTCTGTCCCGCGTCCATATGTCCTCGCGCCCTTATGTCCCGCGCCCATTTGTTTCGCGCCCTTTTGTCTTCGCGCCCTTATGTCCACGCGCCCTAACGGCCGCGTCCTTATGGTCGCGCCCTTTCGGCGGCGCCCTAATGTCCTAGACCGTGCCAAGAGGACGTGCCTTTGCATCAGAGAGATTTTATTGTTGCCTTGCCCGATCCCACTGCTTCCTGCAACTAGGCAGTTATCCTGGACTTGCGGTTCTGCATCATGCTCCAATTCCTTTTTGCTCATCCGAAAGAGCATTATAAAAAGTTTGTTTGTTTGCCTCGCAACTGCACACACACGGTTACTTTTTTCATGGACCAATTTTGCACTCGTAGCATCTGCCACCATTCGAAACCCTTTGTATAATGCCTTTCCTTGTGAACACAGGTTAATTTTCAAACTTGGAACATGCAACACATTATATATTTCCATCTCGATGAAATTCTCACTATTATATGATTGAATAAGAATTTTACCAATCCCGACTGCCATAATTGTTGATCCGTCGCCAATGTTTACTGCTCTTGCCTAATTTTATATTCAAAGTCTAGGCTCACCTAGGTTATCGTACGTGCTGTACATCTTTCGATCATTACACATATGCTCAGATGCCCCACTGTCCAAATACCATTCAGTATCCAACTGCAATTCAGTAACTCCAACGAATGCCAAACCTCCTTCACCACTGCCACTGCTCTCCTCCTTTGTTTTCTGTTTCGATTTTCGGAACCAGCAATCTTTAAACATGTGCCCCTTTTTCTTACAGGGGTTACACTCGACATTTTTATTTTTAAACCGTCCACCACTTCTGCATTCGTCCTTTTTATGCCCGGCTTTACCACAAGAGAAGCACTTCACTTGTGATTGTTGTTTTGCGGTTAATGCAACTGTCTCTTCACCCGAACCCAAACGTTCTTCTGCTATCAATAACCTTGCACTTAAGTTTGTTAAATTACGCTTGTCTTTCGGAACCGACTCCACGCGGAAACGAAATGTTTATATTGTTCAGGCAAGGACATTAGTATTTTTGTGATAACCATATTTTCTGGTATATTTTCCTTTTGTTGTTTAATTTGCGCAACCAGATTTTGTATCTTAGTTATGAAATCCATTACACTGCCTTCAAATTTCATATTTAAAAACTTCTGCTGTAGTAAGTGTACACTAACGTTCGACTGTCTTTCATATATCGACTTCAGTTTTGTCCACATTTCATGTGCCGATTCACACATTAATACATGAGAAAAAGGACCTGACTCCATGCGTGTTACTAACACTTCCTGTGCCTTCGCATCCTTCACTTCGAACTCTTTCACTTCCTTCCCTGTGTGTACCCCATCGGGTTGTTTTACAGTTCCCACAGTTATAACATAAAGTTCCTTGGCCGTGAGTATTACCTTGATTTGAAATTTCCACACGTTCCAGTTATTCTTGTTTAGCTAAATAAATTGGGTCACCACTCACCACCTGTTGCTCCATTTTACTGTTTTCTACCCTTGCCGTTTTACAACGTATATTCCCTCTGTAACAGTTTTATACACCCGTTTGGTCTGGGCCCATAACCTGAGGCAGAGTTGGCCTTTTTCAAGTATAACAACAGTAATATTATATCATTATTTATTAAAGTAAACGGAAAACTGTATTTTTACATGAAAAACAAAACGTGCTTTTTCTGACCTTTTTTAGCAAGCCCTGAACGGAACGCCCCCTTACGTACTAACTAGTAACCACACAGTGGCGTAACATTATAGATTGTTCACAAGCACAATACAATGTGCTGCACTGTGTGATTTTACAATCAATTATAAATCCAGTTTCACCTACTTGTTGTTGTAGCAGAAAACTTACAGATAGGTATACAAAACGAGACATAAAATGTGCCTATAGTATAATAATTATATGCACTTGTGCACACATGACTAGAAAATGCGAGTCGCCAATGTAATTTTGTAAATTGTAACCAATATTAAGTTAAGAAACACTTTAGAGCACTATTACACATGACATTTCCGAGGATTCCCACCAAAGTTATTTATCCATCATTATTACACACTAATTGGGTAATTGCAATGGCACTTCCAATTCAAGTAAGAAGCGTATGACATTTTCAATTTGGCGGTGATTCTTGTGACGTCTTTGGGATAAAAACGTCATCTGCGCGGATTTGCGTGTAGTTATAGACATACCTTGTCTTATTGTACCATGATAAAAATCACCGTCTTTGTAAATAAAATGACTTCGGTTGAAGAAGACAATACACCGTCTATTCAGTGACTTATTGTTGCAGCAGAAGAACCTGTAAAATCCAAATGCAAAAGCTTATTATTATATAAAGAATATATGAAAAACTGTTGGCGTGGATTAATAGCAAGCATCTTTCAAACAATGTAGTGTTTAAATCTTCTACCCTTCGGTGCATTCATTCAAAACTTCATCAATATTGCGATTAGAAAGTGGAACAGATTTGGCAGCATACTCTAAACCACGGGCGCTTGTGAAAGCTTCCCACCAAATTACAAATATAGGCCCGTATGAATAAAAGTAAGCAAATGCTTATACTTGCAAAATTCAAAGTAAATACTCGTAACTGCCCCTTCATACTGGTCTGTTTAGCATGGTTTAGCAGCGCTGCACTGCGTCCTGTCCTTCTGCTTAGAAGCGCTGCTAAGTCGCCCAGTGCGAAGGAGCACTTACGAGTATTCACTTTGAATTTTGTAAGTATAAGCATTTGCTTACTTTTATTCATACGGGCCATTGTTTCATATGTCATATTCGAAGTAACGTTACTTAGCAACCTTTAAAGCTCGGCGTGTTTTAAACAGCGATTCTGATGCAGGTATAATAAAATAGTATATTGAAAGACAAGTGTTACAATGCGACCTATTGTAATACGATAAAGCATTGTAACACGCGTTTTCATACTATTTTTTCTATTTCGGTGCTTTAATTTAATTTAAAAAATCATTATCAGAAACTATAGGGAACATTAGAACAGCTAACATGTTTTATGTTGGGAACACTTTTTATGTCGTTAAGTTTTAGGTTGGCAGCGTAGTAAGACTGACATTTTGAAGTTCAAACATGGAAGTACCCAACGAAGTACCTACTTGTACTAACTAGTAACTGCCAACTTAAGAGATGAGTTACCAAAAAAAAACGACTATAATCACTGTCTTTGTACAACTGTTTTCGGCCGAAAACAGTTGTACAAAATCATCATTGTGACACCGAAATAGAAAAAAGTGATTGTAATACTGAGGATCCTTCGGTATTTCGTTGTATCGGTTTATTTCTTACAGGTATATCTTCTATAGAACGTGCGTGAACGTCAGTGATTGTTAAATTACTTTAAAAACAAACCACGTATCACATGAGGAGAAAAATAAAAAAGCGAAAGCTGTCAAATTTTTATTTGCATCTACAAAAGCTATCAGATTTTAAAACCAGGAAAATAAAAAAATTAAAATGGCGAGTTGGCCTAGTTTACATTGAGATTTTCCTGTCATTCAAGTTCGTGTACTTGTGGTAATCGAAACTGTATGATGTTCAGATTTTGACATCAACTCGAATTCGTACCTATACTTTATTATCAATAAAATTTAGTGTTTTGACATGTTTGTCATAATTTTCGTTATCATACAGTTTATCAAATTCACACGTACCCTCTAGCTAAATTGATAGCTACGCAAGTCAGCATTTATCTGACTATAACTTTTGTTAATGATCTAGTATATCATATGATTAATTGAAGCTCCTTTTCAAATGCTTTCATTTCATTTCATAAACGGAACTAAATCACGAACTAATTACCTTTTGAATTAATTCCTGACAATAAATGTGTTTCGTCAAAGAGCAATACCAAATCAAAGAATTGGTACAAAAACGTTTATAAATTACGCAATTAACGTACCGGATTGGAATAAAGCATTTTTGGAGTCTTTAATCGTCGTTCCAAAAACCATACCCGTACAACATAATAAAATACCTACTACAAAATAGAGGTTCTAAAGTGGTTAGCACCTACTTCGATAAAGTACATATTATCATGGAATTGACGTACCTATGTATAATGACACGACGGAATACGTTTGAACTTCGAACGAATTTGTCATATCTTGGTCAAAATATATGTAGTCGTGAGAATCAAGGTGCACAAATATTGATTCTAAAGTACTTACTTGACCCAATTTCCTTGATCATTTCGAAGAAGAAGATACACCGAACTACTACCTACTTCAGTTGGTACTTTATACTTAATAATCACTATAATCGATTATGAATTAATTTCACTCGATCAAAGGTTGATAGGGTTAAAAGGAATTCCCGTAATGTAAACGCACATCAATGACCTACACTCGAAATTCATTATCTTAAGTGCATTCGGTTTTTCATAAAGCATCAAAACAAATTTAAGGTACATTTGTCCTAATCTTTTAATCATTTTCTCACTTGCTTAATCAAAAAACCTTTAGTCACAATCGGTTAGTAATATTTGAATTTTTAGCCTTCAAATGGTCGCGAAGGGACTGATTAGTGACTTTTCTTTCTCGGTGCTAGTATGTCCCTTTCCCTATCTGCAAATGCTATTGGTTTTGTTAAAAGAATCAATGAGTATGTGACTGAGGGTATCGGACAGAAACCAAGTAATAACGACAAAAATATTTAGAAATATAAATTGAGTACCTATACTCAAATTCACTATCGGACTCATAATGCCATTTTGCCTAGAAACGATTTCACCTTATATATTCCTTAAAATAATTAGGTACCTACAAACAATTATGAACTCTTAAGACATTATTTTAAATGATTGATTGTGAGTAAAATAACGGGCGATCAAAAATAAGTTGCCACCGAGTTCTCTTTTTAGTACGATTTCCCATGTGTACTACCTACACAAAAATTCCAAGGGTGACTCGACACAACTCATTTTTTATCGCATAAGTAGTACGACGCAGCTATAGCGAACTAATGAAGCACTTCCCAGTTGTAGTCTACTAGGTATTTGCGTATTCATTTGGTCAAATAAGTATCGTAATCAAAAATTAAATTGATTGGATATTGGACACCACTTTATTTTCTGATCTTAAGAGACTGCGATCACATTCCAGTAAAATAATTAGCTTTATGATTTCCAGGGTTTACCAATATTATTTAAATATTGTTTTATATTTCAGGAGTATTTGTTCTGATCTATCTCCTAATGGTAATTTTAATGGGAATGCCGATTTTTCTATTGGAACTAGTCATTGGGCAGTATTCCGGTCTAGGGCCAGATCAATGTTTTAGCCGAATCGCTCCAATATTTTCTGGTTTGGGGTATTGTACGTTAGTCGTGATATATCTAGTCACTGTGTATTATATGGTTATCATTGCGTGGTCCGTATTTTATTTCTTTGCATCATTCAGAACCGAGCTCGGTTGGGGTTCGTGTGATCATGAGTTTAATACCAAAGGTAAAACCAAAACTGTCAATTTGAAATATTTGATGCAAAATTGTACGTTTTAGGTTGTTTCGATGCGATTGCGGATGAAAGCTGTGGTCTAAACGCAACTTTTTATAACTACAAATGTACATCCGTCGCAGAATTATGTAGTGAATACAACTTCGATCATATGGTAAACCGCACATATTGTGGGTTACAAAATGGAACGGAGGTACACATAAGTACAATTATCAACAGAACATTATCATCTGAAGAATACTTCAGTCAATTTGTATTGGGAATAAATGGTGCAACCTGGGAAAATTTTGGAGAATTCCGTTGGCAATTATTTTTATGTCTCCTATTTTCGTGGATCGTAGGATACTTCTGCGTAATTCGTGGCATTAAGTCATCAGGAAAAGCTGCATACTTCACCGCGCTATTTCCCTACGTGATATTAACTGCGTTAGTTATTAGAGGTGCCACTCTTGAGGGCGCAGTAGACGGAATTTTACATTACATCACGCCGAAGTGGGAAATGTTGGGAGACGTCGATGTTTGGGGTAGCGCAGCGTCACAAACGTTTTATTCTTTTGGAATAAGTTGTGGATCTTTAATAACTTTAGCATCGTACAATAACTTTAAGAATAACTGCATGAAAGACGTGGTAATTATTGCAGCGGCCAATTTATTCACCTCCATTTATGCTGGACTTGCAATTTTTGCTATGCTTGGATTTCTGGCAAAACAGTTAGATGTTCCAATTGAAAATGTAGCTACGGATGGTCCAGGACTAGCTTTTGTGGCTTATCCGGAGGCACTTCTACGAATTCCTATCCCACAGCTTTGGAGTGTCTTGTTCTTCTTTATGGTAATCATCCTTGGCCTTGGCAGTCAATTCGCCGGAATTGAAGCAGTTAGTGTTACAATTCTTGATAAATGGCCGCATTTGAGAAAACGCCAGTACCTAGTACAAATAGGAATTTGCCTTTCTTGCTTTATATTGGCAATTCCTATGTGCTTTAGTGGAGGAATATATATATTTACACTTTTGGAATGGAACACCGCATCATGGGCTATTTTATTAATCGGTCTCGGAGAAATTGTTTCTGTTTCCTGGGCTTACGGATGTAGACGATTCTTACAGCACATGAAGGATATGACTATTAGCATGCCCAAATTAGTGTATTGGTATTGGTGGGTATGTTGGGTAATAGTAACGCCACTTACTTTAATTGTAAGTATCTTTGTTGTAGAATAAATTGTACAAACTTCACTTTTAGGGTGTATTTACTTTCCAAATGGTTATATTTGCACCAGCTTTATATGAGGACTACATATTTCCAGAATGGGCCAATATGATAGGTATATTAATAGGGGTATCTACATTGGCTCCGTTACCGATATTTGCTATATATTCATATTTCACAAAACCATATGTAAGTTATATAGAATTTGCATAGCTACAACAATAATCTATCTAACGTTTTCAGACCGGCATGGAATGGTTTAAACCAACTAAGGAGTGGGGACCCCAAAGTGACACTTCGGAGAGTGTCGTAAACTTGACAAGGTGTACCAGTGGATCGATACGTTCTAGTTACGATTCTGGGATTACAGTCGCTATGGCTTCGTGATTCGTCTAATGTGAATAGTTCTGTATTAGGGTTAAGAAGTTATGATTACGTTAAGCTGTGTACAAATCTGACACATGACAAACGATACGTTCATTATAATGTATCTGTATGTACCTACTCTAAAGAAACTTAAAGTACGAGGGTTGTATTTTTCCAACCTCAGATAGAGGGTATAGAAATAAAAGTGTAAATGTTTACAATAAAACAAATTTATTACCAAACGTTACATACAACTTCGGTTACTGCTCAGCATGATTATCGTTTTGATTGAGGCACTGGTCATACTGGTAGACAAACTTTCCAATATCCTCTTAAAAAAACACATATGTATGTAGCTTTTGGCAATAAATTAATTGTACTATACACGATACTTCCTATTTTATACCTTATCGGAGGTTGAAAAAAAAACAGCTCTCGTAATAAGCTTCTATCATCATTGTATAAATCATGGAATACTCATTAATTAAAGTATCTTTCTGTATAGATAATGCATATTTATTTATTACACTGAAAAAATATATAGCTAGGCGAGTTCTAGCATGACAGACTAGCCATATAACGCCCTCATGTGGATTCGTTAACATCATATTACGCTGTTACCTTATCTTTAAGAAAACGTATTTATTTGTATTGATAAATGAAGTCACATTTATTACGACAATTTAATAAAACAAAAGTCAAAGTAGGTGTTGTTTAGTTCATTTTCCTCTATAGTCGATTTACATTTCAATGGTATGGCCATTGAATTTATAACCATCATTGAATAAATAATATTACTTAAACCTCTCGCCAGGAAAGATTGCCGATCACAGAACGCTTGATCTTGATCTACAATCTATGTTTTTCTTAAGACGCGAGCGACTTCCGGGATAGTATCGTGTTAATGTTAAACGACAAGACTTTTCGTTCAACATTGGCACGATCCTATTCCGGAAGTCGCTCTCGTCTTAAGAAAAACATAGATTGTAGATCGACACAAGGTGTGCTGTGACCGGCAATCTTTCCTGGCGAGAGTTTTATATTCAATGTAACGATGTAACTATTTGTAAATTTAATGGTATGGCAAATGGTTAGACCACCAACAATACACACTTCTAAGTATATTCTTTGAATATTAGGTATATTTTTATGATTCCTAGTAAACAAGACAAGTCTATCGAAAAGCTGTAGTTAATATTTAAATGAAGATGCACAATTACCTGTTTCGGTTACTGCGTGGACAAAATTAGCAATGTTTACAAACATTTCCTACATTTTTAATGACACTGTTATTTCCAGTCTTTTATTCGAATCAATTTTACTGGTCAAATGATTTACAGATTTTTATAATTATTAGGTAGAAATGTGTATAGGTATAAATGAACTATAATTCATTTCCGTATGGTAGATCCTGATAAAACGACAGCCTTTTTTGATACCAATACGCATTTTCATGGTTTCTGGCTAACTTGACACAACCGTAGCTAAATGTTAAAAAAAGTAAAAAATTGATAGAATAGAATAAATTTATTGAAATGATATTCTGCATTCAATAAAGAGAAAATGCCGAAAATCACATGTCAACGTATTACATATGCGATATACATCACTAACGGTATGTAGACGTTTCTAACAAACTTTGATAAACAAAAATTTGTTTGTAAAAGCAATTCTCTCTCAAAAGAAATTATATTGTAATTTTTAGTCAGTATTGTTAACTTAGCAATAGGACATATACCTACTACTCCGTTCAATAGTTATTGCTCCAGTAGTAGGCCATGCTCAAGGTTGGTATAACCTTGCCAAACACCCTCTATTCCACGACCATTGTTTCATTGGGAGTATCTGAATCGTTATTATCAATACCTGATTCTGACTCAGATTCCTCCAATGAAATAATGAAAGGTGGAATGTTTTCAAACGAAACATTTCCCATATATTTCACCCAGTCTTCCGAAATTAGTTTTTCACAATGAATACAAACATTTTGCCACATGTCAGAAGTACAATTTGAAAGAGCCTCAAGCCATAAATTTGTAACCTTATCCTTGGACGAAAGCTGAGAATGTATATGTTTGTAAGTTTTACAGAACCCCCATGCCATTTCAAAAGGATTGTACTCGCAATGGTACGGAGGCAATCTAAGAACCAAGTTTCGTCCAGATACACGAATGTTATATTTTCATTTGAATTTTTGTATTGCAAGAATTTCCTCAAAAATGTAATTTTGGATGCAACAACGTCCATTTACGTGTTTGTATTTATAACCCATGGATTTTAGAATGTTATATAGTTTTCCCCTTATCAAAATCAAAATTTTCCCGCGCGTCCCTTAGTAAAGCTGAATTTATAGTTCCGTACCCGCAACACCGTACCGTAACGTTTGGAATTAAACCTTACTTGTTTGGTGTGAACATTTATAATTCGCGTTAACGTTGCGTTAGAACGGTTACGGTACGTAGGAAATGCCCAAATTTTATTTCTTACGGTAAATCGTGCTAACGCGCTTGTCTTCGGTAGTACTCGGATAATTCAAACAGTTGAGTTTATCCTGTCGTTCGTTTCGTTTATTTACAATAATTATTGACACTTTGTTGGTTATTATTATTTTGAAATGCACGTGACAGATGACATACAATGGCAGAATTCGTTTCACACTAATACGCAAGCTCATCTCTTACCACTAGGGTAACTATAAATCGTATAATTTTCGTTAACGTAAGATTTTACGGTTCCGTTCTTACGTTCTTACGGCTACTGAACTATAAATCCGGCTTAAGTCAGCCAAAGTAAAGTGTTCATTTTTCGAGTGATAATTCCAAATTGGTCCTTGCAAATCTTTCCGAAATGAAAAATTTTGATATATAATATCAGTTTTCGGTCGTGGGCAGGGTATATTCTAAGCAATTTTTCCAACTGCACAAAAGTTAATTTTCTAGGATTTTTCAGCACTTTGCTATAATTGCAAACGACGCGGACTAACGGCACCGGCACGGCTGGTCTGGTCGAGCCCGGTCCGGAAATCGTGTTTATATCTTTCCGTGGTTGGCGCGGGGTTTGCGCAGGCGCGCAAACGGCTAACAGCAGTCTTTTGTTCTTGTATATCCACTTCCACTACAATATGCCCGAACTCGCTGGTTGAAAAAAAAACAGCATAGAGTAAAAGCATTGAATAATATTATTATTCAATGGTAAAAGCTACTACGAAAGCCAAAGAAGAAGGGTACTTCAAAGGAATTTTCATAGAAGCTGCAAATAAGCGTGATTCGTCAGAACAAAATGACGCTCAGAAGACAAAAACAAAAAAGATATTCTGACTTGTCAGCATCTCACATTTTATTAATAAGTGTTCCATTCCATTTTATGAGTTACATTCAAATTTTTTAATAATATTTTTTTCATTTTTTTTTATTAAATACAAAATTTTCTACTGCACATTTTTTTGTCTTCCAACTGCACAGATTGTGTCCAACTGCACGTTAGAATATACCCTGGTCGTGGGCCAAAAGGTTTCAATTAAAAAGTATCCAGCCGGATAATTCTTTCTTTTATGTCTGTAATTATGATTAAAATCACAACTCCAAAACACAACCATCTTTATTTCTCATTCCACTTCGTCTCCCTGTGCGCATGCACATGTCACATTTTATACTTTTACATTCATGCCTGAAGGGCAAAATATATACATAATAATTCTCCCCCACTTAATAAATTCTATAAATTTAATCGATCTGGTGCCCTCCGCTGGCGGGTTGACCGTCGTGGCTCCTGTTGGTTTCTCACCTGGAGCGGAGGCGCTTCATCTTGACCTAGATCTGGATTATTTTGTTGGGGAACTGGAACTTGGACTGGGTTGGCTGCAACTGGGAGTTCATCTGGTTCTGCTATGTCGAAAGTGACTCGTTTTGGCCCAGTGACGGGTGTTGTCCCCGTTGATTGCGTTGGAGGTAGTTTCACTGGAAGATTTGATCTAACGAGCTGGTTTATATGTTTCTTCGTCACGTAACCGGTGTCGAGAGTAACTTCATAGTGTAACGATCCGAAACATTTGTTAATTTTACCTGGAAGCCATTTGTCATTTAAGCGGGCTAGGACTCTCTCCCCCACTAAAAAAAATCTCTTGATGTTCACTTGAGGTTGAGTACGTGTCTGATTCAGTGGTCGTAGAGCGTCCAACTGGATACGAAGACGCCGGTTTAAATATATTTCTGCTGGTGACTTTCCAGAATTGAGTGGAGTGGATCGATATCGGATAAAATATTTCGTACAAGGATGGGTAATGGAATTGAAGATGATTCAAGGCACGGTTTGAGAGTATGCTTGAGTGTTTGAACGAACCGTTCCACTTGTCCATTCGTAGCGGGGTGTCCAGGGGCGATAAATCGTTGAGATATTCCACACTTTCCACAATAATTAGAAAATTCTGAACTTGTAAAAATAGCAGCATTATCAGATACCAAAAGAACGGGAAATCCATGTGTAGAAAATATGTCCTGTAGAAATTCGATTGTTGTGGCAGAAGTCGGAGCAGAGCGAGTTAGTCGTACTTCTGGCCATTTGCTTCTTGCGTCTATGAGGATGAAAATGTAGTATCCATGGAAAGGGCCGGCGTAATCCATGTGGACTCGTTCAAAATTTGAATCTGGTTCTTCCCAGCTATGGTTCCGAATTTGCGCAGGCTTGTTTTGATTGTTTGCACATGCAGAACAGCTACGTACTAATTTTTCTATGTCAGCATCAATTTTCTTCCAATAACAGTAGCGGCGTGCAAGACGTTTCATACGGACAATACCACTATGAGTAGAATGTAATTCATTTAAAATACTGGATCGTAGAGTAACCGGTATGTATATTCGGTCGTTACGAAATACTACTCCCCTGTTTATTTTATACTTGGAGTCGTTCGTACCTTCTTTCAGCTGTTCCAATATGGGTTGAATTTCTGGATCGGTCAGGGTTTCTTGAGCTAACGTGCTACTGGAGATATCGAGCGATGGGATTTGTTGGATCGTTGCCCCTTCAACTTGGTCAGCTTCAGTTGATAAAATTTCATCAATACCATTCTCAGTAATGGGTAGAGGTGCACGTGATAGATAGTCAACGTTTTGATGTGCCTCTGCGTTGCGGTGACTTATTGTATAGTCGAATCCTCTAAGGAAAATAGAATATCGCAACAGACGACCTGCAGTCATTGGTGGTACGTTCTGTGGGTTGAATATGCGGATGAGCGGTCTGTTGTCAGTTTGAAGTTCGAATTGGCGTCCATAGAGATACTGGAACATTTTACTGACACCAAATACGATAGCCAAAGCTTCACGGTCGAGCTGGCTGTACTGCGATTCAGCTTGAGTTAGTGAGCGTGATATGAATGCGATTGGTCGTTCATTACCATGAATAATGTGCGATAATACGGCAGCAACGCCATAAGGGCTCGCATCACAGGCGAGTCTGAGCGGAAGTTCTGGATCATAAGGAGTGAGGACTCGGTCACTGGCGATTTCCTGTTTGAGGCGAATGAAAGCAGATTCACAATTTGATGACCAAAAGAATTTCTTATTTTTGAGCAATAATTGACGCAAAGGGTATGTTTTCGATGATGCGTCCGGAATAAATTTTGAATAATACGTTACAAGACCTAGAAATCGACGTACCTCTTCGACGTCCTTCGGTCTTTGTGTTTCCAGGACACTGGCTACTTTCCTGGGACATTTTGAAATTTTGTTGTGTTCAATGACGTATCCTAAGTAGGTAATTTTCTTGGTGAAGAAGTTGCATTTTGACCGGTTGATGTGCAAGTTATTTTCTGTGAGGATTTCAAGGCAACTTATGAGGTTACTGTAGCATTCCTCTAAATTAGTTCCATATACGACTATATCGTCGAAGTATGTTGTGACACCTTTAAGGTTCCTTATAATTTTGTCCATAACGCTGTGAAAAATACTGGGTGCGGTTTTGATGCCTTGTGCCAGCCTGTTGACTCTGTAGGTTCCGATATGAGTAGAAATAGCCTGGATAATAGCGCTTTCGTCATCCATAGGAATATGCATATATGCTTTGAATAAATCTAGTTGACAAAAGTATCGAGCTCCTCTTAATTTATGCAAGGTTTCGTCTATTCGAGGAATTGGGTGATGTGCTTCACACAGCTGAGGATTCACTGTAGTCTTGTAGTCGACACAAAGTCGCAACGAACCATCAGATTTGGGTACAATCACCAGAGGGGAAGCCCAATCACAATTTTCAATTTTTGAAATAATACCATCGTTTTCTAATTTTTCAAGTTCTGATTCGACTGGTTTTCGAAGAGCGAATGGTAATGAGCGAGGCTTTAGAAAAACTGGTTTTGCGTTTGGTCGAAGCTGTAAGTAGCTCGTGTGGGCTGGAAGAATACCAATTGTTTGTTCGAAAATTTGTGAGAATCTCTCTTCGATACGCTGTATTAATTTTGTAGGATCAGGCTGAACTGATAGCTCATTTACTGGTGTAATCTGTGAGTCAGGTTCTTGGAGTGAAATTTTTAAATGTCGAATCCAAACACGACCTATTAATGGAGTGAATTTATTTTCCACTACGTAGAGTTTTTCAGTTGAAATGTGATTATTATACCGGACTTTGACTGTAGCGTATCCATAGGGATCGAAAATTTCTCCTGTGTATGATCGGAATCGAAGATCGGGAGGCTGGAGGGTATTTGAAGGCATGTTAAGTTCGTCAAACAAATATTTTGGTAATAAGGTTCGAGCAGCGCCTGAATCTACTTCGAATTTTTGGGGTTTGTCTTCGAGCAGCACTGTTGTGAAAAATTTACAGGAATCAGTAGCATCTGTATCGAAAATATCAAAAACAAGCTTATTTACGGTTCCTTCGGTTAATTGGCCAATACCATAAACATCATTTGGTTGGTCCGTTATACTCGCATAGTCGATTGCTTTAACTGGCGTGTCTCGTTTCTTTGATGAAAGAAGGGACGTGATGCAGACCTTCGCAATGTGACCTTCTTTGTTGCAGGCATTACAATGAAGACGTGTGCGGTTGATTTTGCAGTCTTGTGTTCTATGATTATTTTTGGAGCAGCGTAAACATAAACCTTCAAGACCCAAAGAAGCATAATCGATACGAGTACGTCTGTAACTCGATTGTGAGGTGTAGCGCTGTTGACTGTTTGATTGATTTTTAAAATGATGGGCAGGTGTACGATTTTGAGATCTGGACCGCGGCTTCGGGTTAACTCGATTAACATTCTGGACAGAAGGAGCAATATTCGAAGATTCTCGAGCACTATTAGAAATGGTTTGGTTACCAATTTTTGAAGCTTCTAGTGCAAGGGCTTTATTTACGGCTTCTGAAAATGTGAGGTCTTTGATTTGAAGTAACTGCTCTCGAATTGTTGAATCTTTTATGCCACGAATAAATTGTGACCTTAAAAATAAATCGGCAACGTTAGCGTTACACGATGAGCAGATAAATGCACAATTTGATGTAAATTTTCGAAGCACAGCGACATAATCTGAGATGGATTCATTTGTTGATTGCAACCGTGATAAGAATTTATGTTGTTCAATGAGTTCATTGTTCTTAGGATAGTGATTTGATAGCAGCTCCGTTAATTCTGTGTAGGTAAGCTCTCTGATATCCTTAGGTGCAGCTAATGAGCAAATTAAATCATATGAAATTGAACCGATGCTGTTTAAAAATAGTTGAGCACAAACAGGTTTATCGTGAAATATTTTCTTCAGTTTCAGGAAATTTTCGAATCGTGATTGATATTGAATAAATTTCTCCCTCGCTGGATCAAAAGGATCGAAATTTGATGGTAAGGTAATATTTGAAGGTGTTACCTGTTCAGCTGGTTGTAATTGAATTGTTTGTGTTGCAATGCGTTCCGCCGATGCAGTAAATTTATCCGCGAGTAACCGATTGCTTTCAGTAATTGCTTGAATTGTTCTGGATCCATTGTTGCACATACACGACACTGTAAAACACTTTAATTTAACTGAAATAACGAATTTTAAATCCTCGTCGCCATTTTTATGTCTGTAATTATGATTAAAATCACAACTCCAAAACACACAACCATCTTTATTTCTCATTCCACTTCGTCTCCCTGTGCGCATGCACATGTCACATTTTATACTTTTACATTCATGCCTGAAGGGCAAAATATATACATAATACTTTCAATGGTTTTTTCTGATACCTAGAATAGTACAAACCCCAAAATTAGACCGAAAGTTAAGTTCAATTCATAAATCTCACATCCCAAATGTCACTAAGCCGGGCTAAGATTTCCGCTTTCCTTAGGTCTGGCATATCTGTTTTATAATGCCTGTAGGCCTCGCTGTAGGCTTTTAAAATTTGCATTTTAGCATCTGAGTTTATGATTTTCGGCATATTTTAATAATTATAAATCACAATTGACTGCTACCTATCCATGACGCCGATATACAAACATAATTAGGTCTAGTGGCAAACAAAGTGTAAAAGCACCGACACCATTGTACGGTTAAATTCAAATAGTCAAATAAGGCCGATTCTCACATAAGCGACGCGTAGCAGCGCGTATAGCGGGGCGTCGCAGGGCGTCACTGCAAGGTTCAATTCTCACATAAGCAGCGCGGCGCGGCGCGACAAATTATCCTTTTGGTTAGAGAACAAACGGCCTGAACTGGACTGGATAGTCCAGTTTTAAAGCATGGCTTAATCGAGTAGTTCACCTAGTGATCATCAAATGATTGCTTTGGCAATGGCGGTGGAAGCTGAACGAGAAACTAAAAAAATAAAAAAAGGATGCAAAAAATTTATAAATCGCGTTTTTCTGAAGGCGAATTCCATTTATTGAGTGTCTATTAGAATACTAGAAAAGTCCAGATAGTCTTTCACAGCAACAATTATTTCTTTTAATTTACACTGGTCTTTTTCTACAATTATTGTCAATAAAATGTATGTATGCGTCACCGCGGCAGCAGCAAATGCTGCTTTTCAACTCTCCATAGCAGCGCCGCCGTAGCGACGCGGCATACACGCTCTGCGGACAGTTAAATTTTGGTACCTACAACGAAATTCAATGAGCCCTCGTTCGAAGAGCACGACAGAGACAGGTCGCCCAGGAGTTGCAGCGCCTTGTCGCTGGCAGTCTGTCTCGCGACTGCTTCTGGAGCGGTAGTGTCTCTGTTTTTATTGTATGTTTCTGAAGACAAATATGCCTTTTACCGCTGATGTAGATGAAATATTAATAGATGTAGTCGCCGAAAACCCAATTCTGTATGATTTAAAGATAGAATCTTATAAAGATGGACAAAAAAGTTAAATGTTTGGAAACATATAGCAGGGATTTTAAATAAAACAGGTATTTATGGCTCAGTGGTAAGAGCATTGGGTTATAAATCCGAAGGTCGGGTGTTCGAACCTGGGTTGAGGTGAATTTTTCATCTGTGGCGGAGATGGAAATTACCTTAGGCCAGTTCCGAGCATTCTACCGGCTACTCCGAATTAGGTTTTCCTGCAGTTTTCCTAATTCGTAAGGTAAATACCGGAGTAGTATAGACCATCTTAAGACCTTCTGCAAAGGGACCTCTAAATAGCATTATGCGGGTCACTCTGTAATTGGGCACATGCCTGTTGAGGGCCCAAAACAAGAGAGGGATAATAAAAAATAAAAAATAAAAATAAATAAAAATAAATAAAGTTGTGTTTGTTAATTTTATTAATTGAAAATCACGTAACGAAACTAGCAAAATAAATAATGAGGTATATCTATTATTCCTTTTGGCTTGTAACAGAGTCTTGCCAAGAAACTTTTCCTTGTGGACTTGAGAAGTAATCTGTAAGTTGTTCCCTCATCCATAGACCGATTTTCTTAGCAAATCCACCAGAGCGGCGTAACGGTTCCATATTTAATGTTAGTTACTTTTCACTCCTATGATTGGGAAATGCAGAACCAATTTTTTGTCGATATTCTTCACGCAAAAGATTATGGAGACAACAAGCGGTCATTATCAAATCAGTACATGTGTCGGGATTAATTGATATTGGTGTATAAAAAATTCGGAAAATTTGGCTTAATAAGCCAAACGCATTTTCTGAAACTCTCCGAGCTCGGCAAATACGATAATTAAAAACTTGTTTCTTCTTATCATGTTGTGCAACTTTTCGAGGGTATGGTTTCATCATGTAAGAATCAATTCCAAATGCTTCATCGCCAATAAGAAAATGTGGTAGAAAGATATTGGTTCCGACAAGACATTTTTCTCCAGGAATATTAAAATTATTGGAACGTATCCATTTACCCATAGTAGACTCTTGAAAAATGTTACTGTCTCCTTCCTTGCCATGTGTTCCCACATCAACTGCAATAAATTTGCAGTCCGCATCAACAATTGCTAACAGCACAATTGAAAAATAATCCTTGTAGTTAAAATATAAGGAGCCCGTGTTTCCAGGACATTTCACTCGAATGTGTTTGCCATCTATAGCCCCAACGCAATTTGGTACATTCCACTGATCCCAAAATTGTTGAGCAACTTTGGTAAAATCCGTTTCATTTAGAGCTGGCATAGTAATTGGCGGAAGTTTCTTAGGTACTAAGTAATTTTAAAACTTGTCTCACTATCTTCGAAATGTAGCAATCAGATATCCGATAAGCAAAAGACAAAGATACAAACGATTCTCCTGTTGCCAGAAACCTGAAACAAAATAGTTCGTTGTTTAATAAACCATTTTATAGGTATAAATAAAAATTCTTTTTTTCCAGATGAAGAATGCAAAAAGAGATGGAAGTATATTAAAGATTCTTACAACCGTTATAAACGCAAGAAAAAGGCAGGTACAGGAAGTTCTGCTGCGCCCAAACATTCGAAATGGGAGTTCTATGAAAGGTTACAGTTTTTAGAAGTATCATCATGTCATAGAAAAAGTATATCTAATGTACCTAACCTTTCACAAAAGAGTCCCAAGGAATCGACGGAGACCGCAAATAACGAGGACGATAATGACAGCGACTCCAATACCGATGGTGATCTCGACGAACAATATGATACTCAATTGACTGAGGCAGCTATTGTCAATGAAACCGAAAGATCACAGGGAAATATAAATAATATTACACAAAAATCGTCACAAGATACAAGTAAAGTGACAAAAACGACACAAAAAAGAAAAGACGATCCAAGCAGGATGAATTTTTACAGTACCTATATGAAAGAAAGAGATACACAAAGACAAGCTTTATTACAAAACACAGTTGCAGAAAACGTTGAGAAAAATGCTTATGACGATGATGTCAGTTCCTTCGGAGACCATATTAAGTCTGTTTTACAAAAGTTACCTCCGATTTTAAAGGTGAAGGCAAAAACTGAGATTTTTAACACAATGAGCAAATATGAACTTCTGGCAATGGAAACTCCTAATTCAACCCGAGCAACGAGTAGTAATTCTAATTACTCAACATATACTACCTTCTCCTGTACATGCGCCAATATTTACACATCAAGGCCCTTCTAGCAACGAATATAGCAACAATGTGCCTTCGACGATCTTTAACAACATGGACTATCAAGAATAAACATAATAAATCATTGGTTTCTTTGCAATTTATGAATGTTGTACTAGTTTTACTTTACTTACCTTAGGGTAATAGTTTCTCTTCCGCAGTAATTACAGTTCCGGTGCTTTTTGCTTTCAGTTCATTTTCAATTACACTTAAAATATAATAAAACGGTGTTTTATTTAATCTACAATATTTTTTACACATATCTGCATCACCTTGTAAATGGTGCAATATGAGAAGCTTAAAACATCCTTCTTTTTTTCGATTTGAAATAAGCGGTTTATTGGCGCCCTTTCATACTTTTTATAATAATAGTATAAAATCAAGTCGTCCTCTTCCTCTTCCTCTAGTACCTAATTTACGTTTTAAACTTTTCTTTGTGGACATTTTCCATGCACTTCCCAGGTGAACTCACTGATAACTAATACGCTGCGAACGAGCTCTCGCTCTCGTGTCTCCGTCGCTTGTCGGCTGTCTGTGTCTCCTGTCGCGGTCTTCCGTCTCCGTCGCTTGCTGCGAACGAGCACCTTATTAGAATGGGCCTTTAGACATTCGTGTAGGTACTTCACAGCAAATTCTAAGGAGTTTTAATTTTATTAAACATAAAAACAAAATTCCATGGCTACCTACTTGGACAATAACTATTGAACGGAGTATATCGTTAGACGTAGTCATTGACGTAGTATATAATCAAAGCCTTAGACCATATACAGCTCCACCAAGCAAACAAGTCCCTCGGAAAATATGCGAACTAATTTAGAAAATTCTTGGCGGGAAAACGTTACGCCAATACCTACCACGCAGGCGTGTACAGTCCGTAAAAATGTGATAGCTGACATTTATAGATTAAATGTTTATAAAATGCGATTGTTGCAAGAAAAGAGAAACAAACCTCTGCAATTGTGCATTACGAAGCCAGAAATGTTATTAAAAGGGTAGTGGGGAATTCTTCGGCAAAGAGAAAGCTGCCGGTGTGTAGATATTTCCTTTGGGAAAGGGTGCAGAGCTAGCTGCTGCGGCGACCGGCAAACCAACAAAATTCTTAACCAGATTAGGTAATGTGTATTTCATTAATATTCCTCTGAAATACTTATTGTTATCCTGTAGATCGAAGTCAAACTTGCCGATGATAGGACATGGAAATTTCCATCAAAGAAGCAACGAAGTGCAACTTTCTACAAAATAACATTGGATAATTCTGATTTAGGCGTCTTGAAGAATGAAATTTACATGATTCACAACAAAGTCTCTACAATCAATAATTTAGTTAATAAAATGAAGAAGAAAATTGGCATACATCCATTTTATGGAGTGCTTGCTAACAGAAGAAGAACCTGGTGTATATAAAACTGACTGAAGCAGGATGAAATAAATTGGAATGAATTGAAAATGCACATCTCATCATCAAATGGAAAAGGATAAGTCTGGATACAACATAATCCACAATAAGAGATTGGAAGAATAAATGTGGCAACGCCATGGATTGTTAGATGAAGCTGTAGAAAGTTTATCTTTCACGGTAAGCACTGGCACATCAGGCGAAGGTTCTGAAATCGGTGAAGAGGACAATGACGATGATACTGTTTAATTAGTTTTAAATACACACTGCTTTGTCATTAGTAGTACTTAGGTACCTTTTTTGTTATTTTGGGTTGTAATTCTTGTACTAGTACTAAATTTCTCTCTCCAGTTTTCAAACGTAGCTACATTAAAAAAATGCCAAAATAGAACAAGTTTAAATTTCTCGCCAAAACACTATTGACACAGACTGTTAGTACTTCTAAAATACAGCGACACCAAACCATCGCCTTCTTGACGGACTTGTTTGCTTGGCTTGACTGTAGTACATGGACTGCTATTAGCCCTATGCTTTCAATACAAAATGGGTGGTCACGGATAGAGAGCATTGTAGTCGTGGGTATGTGAGTTTCAGGGTAAACTAAAGTCGTATGAACACCACTCGAATTGCGTAAAGAGTAGCTTTTATGGTAACTGCGTAGTACGGGAAGCTTTAAATACTCTTGATTATCTTCTACACGTCCACAAGTAAGAATAGGTTAGCTTTTTTGCCATATTTAAGCGATTAATTAATTGACGTTTATTAATTTATAGGTTGACAGCCTCAAATCGTGTCTCGTCGGACAATTTCGGACAGATTCGTTTGCCCTGAAGCGCACATACTCAGTTACAATTAGCAGTCCATGTACTATACAGGGTGTCCCTAAAAGGTCTGTACAACGCGCTACCAGGGGTTCTTGGTATCAAAATAGGACGATTTAACCCTACTTACCTCTATCCCAAAGTGCTTCGTTAAGGCGCTATTTGCCGCCAAAGATTCAAAAAACAAATCGTTATTTTTACTTTATCGGAAAATGGTTTTGCCGATTAAAATGAAAGTCGGGATGTGAATGTCTAATGTAAAAAGGGTCTTTGTGATATCATCGTTTTGATTGTAGTTGCTATGTAAGTGGTAAAATACTGACCATCCACATCTGAAGAGGTCTAAAACTTTTTAACTACTTTTTTGACAGTTCTGAATTTTTAGACACTGATAGACAGTTTACTTGCAAGCATTTTTTGTCTCTTGATGAATATCGCTATTGGTGATGGTTTACGAAAAAAAAAAAAATTTAGGCATGATGAATGGCATGCACCATACATGCGATTGTTCCTCAAAAACCATAAGTGCAAGCAAGAAGTAGGCTATGAAACCGTAGTGCAAGCAAGTAATGTAGAATAAAACGAACACAACAGAGTAAGTCAATGTAATGTATTAATTTAAACGTACTAAATGTTCAAAGTGACCACCATTTTCACGCATACAAAGCATTATACGGCGTAATAAATTAAACTGTGCCCTTTGCAACATTGGTACGTTATTTTTTAAAGTTTTAAGTCTTCAAGCAAAACGTAATTTGTTAAAGTTTAAGAAACAACAAACAAACGTTAAGCCACTCTAAGGTTTAACAGCCATCTTCTGATTTTTTGAGGAACAATCGCATGTATGGTGCATGCCATTCATCATGCCTAAATTTTTTTTTTTTTCGTAAACCATCACAGATAGCGATATTCATCAAGAGACAAAAAATGCTTGCAAGTAAACTGTCTATCAGTGTCTAAAAATTCAGAACCGTCAAAATAGTAGTTAAAAAGTTTTAGACCTCTTCAGATGTGGATGGTCAGTATTTTACCACCTACATAGCAACTACAATCAAAACGATGATATCGCAAAGACCCTTTTTACATTAGACATTCACATCCCGACTTTCATTTTAATCGGCAAAACCATTTTCCGATAAAATAAAAATAACGATTTGTTTTTTGAATCTTTGGCGGCAAATAGCGCCTTAACGAAGCACTTTTGGATAGAGGTAAGTAGGGTTAAATCGTCCTATTTTGATACCAAGAACCCCTGGTAGCGCGTTGTACAGACCTTTTAGGGACACCCTGTATATGCTATGATAGCTCGTTGAAAAGAGAATTAAAAAAATCTATCAAATAATCTAAAAATCCAATAGGGCGCCTATATAACTTTCGGAAGTTGGAAATGTTCCTCAAAGGTAGCCATCGTGAATTTTTTTTGACATCAATTCTAAATTAGGCGTATTAAAACAGTAACTTTTATATAAAACTTTTTTTTATATCTCTTATACTTTCAATGATATAAGAGATTAAAGAAAATGACCAATTTTAGTTTTTTTGAATTTACGTCGAACCTTTTCGACATTTTGAGGGAACCTGTACCAGGTTGGACAAAGTAACCTTCTTACAGAGCAATTTGCAGCACAGTAAGGGGGCGACCTGTCTAATAGGTCGTCAACTTGCTGTAAAGCAGACAGGCGTATGCCTCATACAAGAACCTTGGGTTTACAAGGGACGAGTAAGAGGTCTGGGCCAAGTGAAGGACTCTCTTTATTATAAAAGGGACAGCCAACTGAACCCGAGGACTTGCATTTATGTCGATAGACGAATCGAATCTTATCTAATAGCTGATTTTTGTTTCAGGGATCTCGTAGCTCTACGACTTCAGCTGAAAGATGACAGAGGACGGGGCAGGCACTTGGTGGTCTGCTCCGCCTATCTCCCATACGACTCAGAAGGGGCTCCACCAACCAAGGAGCTGGCTGAGTTGATAGAGTACTGTCGAAGTAATGGGCTCCCTCTTGTGGTTGGCTGTGATGCAAACGCACACCATGTTGTGTGGGGCAGCACGGACACGAACTCGAGGGGCGACCACCTTCTGGAGTACTTGCAAACAACTGATTTGCATGTTTTAAATCAGGGAGCAGCCCCTACCTTCGTCACAGCGCGGAAGCAGGAGGTCATTGATCTGACGCTGGGCTCCTTTTCAATAGCTCACATGATCACGAATTGGAGAGTGTCTGATGAGCCGTCGCTTTCGGACCACAGGCACATTATTTTCCAACTGAACCTGGCATTGCACTGCGGGCCCTGTAGGTTTCGGAATCCCCGATCCACTGACTGGGACTGCTATGTGGCAAAACTGTCGGACCGGTTGGATAGACCACTTTTGCTCTGTCGGAAAGCAGGGCAGGTGGAAGAGGCGGCCGCATTAGTAAGCGACGCCATAACAGCGTCCTATGAGGACAGCTGTAAACTGCGTACCTTTCGAGGGAAGAAGAGAACACCTTGGTGGAACTCAGACCTTGAAAAGGCTCGTAAGGAGGTTCACAAGCTCTTTAATAGGGCCATGCGAACTAAGTTACCTGCGGACTGGGAAGATCTTAGGATCTCCCAGCGCAGGTATAAGGACCATATTCGGAGGTCGAAACGAGGATCTCGGAGGACTTTCTGTGGTAACATGGAAGGTCTTCCTGAAGTTCAAAAACTTCAAAATCCTTTTGAAGGACCCGGGGCAAAAGGTGGGGACACTGAGGCTTCCATGCGGCAGATATACGTCTATGGCGGGTGAGGCTCTCACATGTCTCCTGGAAACACACTTTCCAGGCTCTGGGGACTACTAAACTTCGGACCCA